AAGGAAGGAAGGAAGGAAGGAAGGAAGGAAGGAAGGAAGAGAGGAAGAGAAAGCTATACATGGTGACACATGACTGCGGTCCCAGCTACCCAGCGGACTGCTGTGGGAGGATTTTTGAGTCCTGGAGTTTGTGGCTGCAGTGAGCTGTGATCGTGCCACTGCCCTTCAGCCTGGGTGACAGAATGAGACCTCATTTCAAAAAAATAAAAACAAAGATGAGTGTTTCTTCTACTCTCCCAAACCTTTGGGTCCATCCCCATTATTTGCCTCAAACTTTATTCTAATTTGATGTTCAGTATATTTCAACCCATTTCCCCTGTAAAATCTCACTTGGGCCTGGATTTCCCAGCTTTAGGCCTAGGGTTTAGTTTCCACTTGATTTGAGATTTCATAATAGGCAGAGTGAAATTGTAACAATCATCCTTTTTCTGGACTCTTGTGCTTCACATCACCAGAAACTTGTATTAGTTTACTATTTTATTACAGGATGACTCTGATGTTGCTGGAATGTATTTAGTGTGTCTTTATTTCCTGTTTCTCTGCTTCTTTGCCTTTTACTATCTTTTTATCAAAGATTCTAAGGTTCTTTGTATAATTGGCTGATACTTCCTGATTGCAAGATATCTCTGTGGGCTCTGAGCATATTTAAACGTATTTCTAAACTTTTCATTCACTTGTGTCAGTATTAATGTAGGGCTTCTGAAAGAATAATGGCAGAGTTAAAGAAATTATTTTCTTCCCTTAGACTGAAGATTTATTTCCATATTCCTGGCCGGGAAGTGGGGAAGTGGGGAAGTGCATGTTTAAGATGCAATGCTTATTGTAACTCTTCTTTAAAGGGGCTCTGGTAGCATTTGGCACATAAGAAGTGACTCATGCAATGTCTTTGAAAAGGAGTGATTGCTTGTTCTTAAGTCTTCATTTTAATATGCTCCAAATGTTAAACATATTGCAAATGTTACTTCACAAATAAGAGAATATATATCCAGAGGAGGACATGGAGAGAGCAGCGAGATCCAGGAACAATATACTAGATTTCTAGGCCGGGCATGGTGGCTCACCGCTGTAACCCCAGCATTTTGGGAGGCTGAGGCAGGCGGGTTGCCTGAGCTCAGGAGTTCTCGATCAGCCTGGGCAACATGGGGAAACCTCATCTCTGCTAAAATACCGTAAAAAATTAGCCTGGCGTAGCAGTGTGCTCCTGTAGTCCCAGCTACTCGGGAGGCGGAGGCAGGAGAATCACTTGAACCCGGGAGATGGAGGTTGCAGTGAGCCAAGATTGCACCGCTGCACTCCAGCCTGGGCAACAGAGCGAGATTCTGCCTCAAAAAAAAAAAAAAAGGACTAGATTTCGATTTCTAAAACTTGCTTTCTCTTCGCTGAAGTTTAACTCTCTAAATGTTTTCATCACAAGTAAAATGTTTTCATGGCGCTTATGATGATAGTATTTCCGGAGAGAATAAAGCTATAGGATAACCTATCAAATCAGTGATATTCAGACTCGTTTTCTATTACCCCAGAAACTTTACTTTAAATCCATTAAATAATGGTTCGAGGAAATACTCTGCATAATCTCACATCTCTGCCTTTCCCTTCCACCTGGAATAAGGTCCCATAACTGTCCGTCACAGCCCTCCTGTTCTTCAAGCCCCACTTTCTCCAAGTCTCTTTAGGCCTCTGCACATTTTTACAGTTGTTCACACCTTTACCATGGCTCGTTCTGAAGAGAAACATGTATACATGTCAGTTTCTCTTTCTTGGAGAGCTGGGACCAAATGATCTATTTTTATTTTTATTTTTTTTTATTTGAAACTTCCAATCCATACTTCCTCCCAGAACCTAGCACATCATTCCGTGATGCCAGAGACTTGGTTTTATTCATCTGTGAACAACCTGGAGAAATGCATCACACCTATTATAGAGGGCTGTCAATTATGCTTATTCTATGAATGGTAGACACCTAACAACACTCACCAGAAACAGAGCAGCTCTAGGTGGTGCTGGCAAATGAAGTCCCATAACCACAAATTGTGTTTGTCAGCACTCGGGCATACTGCAGTCACAATATCAAAAGACAGAGAAAATCTGGTATAATAAAAACCAATACCCATGTAGTTGACCAAACTTTTTACTATGTATCGTGATTTATTTTTCTTCCTTCCCTTTCTTCCGTCCGTCCTTCCTTCCTCCCTCCCTCCCTTTTCTTTCCCTCCCTCCCTCCCTTCTTTTTCCTTCCTTCCTTCCTTCCTTCTTCCTTCCTTCCTTCCTTCCTTCCTTCCTTCCTTCTTTCCTTTCTCTCTCTCTCTCTTTCTTTCTGTCTTTCTTTTGGAAGGAGTTTCTCTCTTTTTTTTTTTTTTTTTTTTTTTGAGACGGAGTTTCACTCTTGTTACCCAGGCTGGAGTGCAATGGCTCAATCTCGGCTCACCGCAACCTCCGCCTCCTGGGTTCAGGCAATTCTCCTGCCTCAGCCTCCTGAGTAGCTGGGATTACAGGCACGCACCACCATGCCCAGCTAATTTTTTGTAGTTTTAGTAGAGACGGGGTTTCACCATGTTGACCAGGACGGTCTCGATCTCTTGACCTCGGGATCCACCCGCCTCGGCCTCCCAAAGTGCTGGGATTACAGGCTTGAGCCACCGCGCCCGGCAAGGAGTTTCTCTCTTGTTGCCCGGGCTGGAGTGCAATGACACGATCTTGGCTCACTGCAACCTCTGCCTCCCACGTTCAAGCAATTCTCCTGCCTCAGCCTCCTGAGTAGCTGGGATTACAGGCATGCACTGCCATACCCAGCTAATTTTGTATTTTTAGTAGAGGCGGGATTTCTCCATGTTGGTCAGGCTAGTCCTGAACTCCCGACCTCAGGTGATCCGCCCTCCTCTACCTCTCAAAGTGCTGGGATTACAGGCGTGAGCCACCGCGCCTGGGCCTTCATTGTGATTTTCTAAATAAACATGGATATATACTTCTGCTTTTAGAAGAATACAGAACATTTTATGACTTATTGACTTGCTGAAAAACTTCATTAGCAAGAATTCTCATCATTTTAAATAAGCCTTATTTTGTCAAAATTTATTCATCTGTCTAGATTGATAACAGTCTTGTAGGTGTTGAGGAGAGAAAGAGAGAGAATTAACATAAATGTTTAATACCACAGTATATCGGACAGGGGAGGAAAAAAGTGAGGAATCTCTGACCTTTATTCAGATTTTTCAATGGTAGCTAGTATGGTGCTTTTATGTACTTATATACAAATTATGTATAGCAAGTTGACAAAATTTCTTGTCAGATTTCTAAAAATGCTCTTTTTCTTTGCAACAGAAGATGCTAACATAATAACTAATAGTTTAGCTGACTTAGAAAGACTACAAGGATAGCAAAAGGGAAATTGCCAGAATCTGTAACATTTTAACAGTTGATCACTCAGTATTGGAATTTCGTTGTCAGGAAAGTCTTGATCCTATACTTGAGGAATTTCTGACTTGATGCAAGTTCAAACTGAAGTGAGCGTTTCATTGTTCAGCACATCAGGTTGGCAAAATATATTGCATTAGACAACACCTTAGCCTAAGCTGCCCTACATTTTAAAACAAAAACACCTAAAAACTGATGAGTAACACAAGAAAGAAGAAGGGAAGAAAAAAGAGGGGAAAGAAAAAAGGGAAGGAGAGGGAAGACGGAGAGGGGCAAAGAGAAGAGAAAAAGAAAGAAGAAAAAGGGGAAGAGGGAGCATGAAGGGAGGAGGGAAGAGAGCCTGTTTTGAATAGCTGCTAAAGACACATGAACAAAATGAATGAGCTTGGTAATATACGACATTTGAAAATTTCGAAGAATATCCAAACAAACACAGCTATCAATCTGTGAGACCTTATTTGTGAGCTTCCTAATTTGCATGTAAGTGGAGGAGACACTGGAAGTTTGGATTTGGAGACCTGATCATTTACCTGCACATCAAAATGCACAGTCCTCAGTGTAAAGTCATGTTTCTAGAAAAACTTTAGTACAAACAAGGTGAGAGTATGTCATTATTGATGCCAGAGCAGTCGCTTTTTCTGTACACTTTTTCATGTTGTCTGATGCTAACAAGATTAACTAGATTTTAAGTTAGCATAATTCGAGGGCAAAAGTATTAAGTATATATAAAATGACTAATTTAATTTTACATAATTTAAGAAATAAAAAATAAGAATTTCCAGATTAACAACCACACTGCCTGTATTACATGTTTAAAGCAATATAATTAAAAACCTAAGAAGAATAAAATAATGTCATCTATTTGTATTTCTTGACTTCTGTAATGTTTAGATAGGTTACATTAATGTCAAGTTAACTAATCCTTTTATTATTATTTCTGTTTTGCAAACTTTTTTTTTTTTTTTTTTTTTGAGACGGAGTTTCGCTCTTGTTACCCAGGCTGGAGTGCAATGGCACGATCTCGGCTCACCGCAACCTCCGCCTCCTGGGTTCAGGCAATTCTCCTGCCTCAGCCTCCTGAGTAGCTGGGATTACAGGCACGCACCACCATGCCCAGCTGAATTTTTTGTATTTTTAGTAGAGACGGGGTTTCACCGTGTTGACCAGATGGTCTCGATCTCTTGACCTCGTGATCCACCTGCCTGGGCCTCCCAAAGTGCTGGGATTACAGGCGTGAGCCGCCGCGGCAGGCCGCAAACCGTTTTTTTTTTTTTTTTTTTTTTTTTTTTAACACAAAAAGTAAAAGCCCAAGGGACCAAGAGTAGTTCTGTATGACTTTATCAAACTTGCCAAGATGTTACAAGATTTTAAAAGTTTTTTAAAATTGAAGGGAAACCTCATTTCTAACACTGAAGAGCTTTATCAATGGTATATTCTCAATCACTTAACATGCAGACTCTGCTTCTAAAGCCTTATGTTAGATTTTATTTTGAAATACAGATCTGTGGTTTTCATATATGTCGTTTAAATTCCAGGTGGTGGCCGGGCGCGGTGGCTCAAGCCTGTAATCCCAGCACTTTGGGAGGCCGAGGCGGGCAGATCACAGGGTCAAGAGATCGAGACCATCCTGGCCAACATGCTGAAACCCCGTCTCTACTAAAAATACAAAAAATAGCCGGGCTTGGTGGCGCATGCCTGTAATCCCAGCTACTCGGGAGGCTGAGGCGGAAGAATCGCTTGAACCCAGGAGGCGGAGGTTGCAGTGAGCCGAGATTGCACCACTGCACTCCAGCCTGGCAACAGAGCAAGACTCCGTCTTATAAAAAAAAATAATAATAAATAAATTCCAGGTGGTTATTTAATTTACATAGAGCTTTCCATATTTAACTTTTGGAAATTAAAATCTTCAGTTCTCAAAGACCATTGAAGCATATATATAGAAAGGAGAAAAACACCTGGTAAAATTCACTTTTAAGTAAATAGAATTTTTTTCAGTCATGTCTTTTAAATTTTTCATTTGTGAGATATAAAATATTTGCTCTATAATACAAAATCTTGATCTTCAGGGACACAGAACACAAAAATAATTCAAAAGCCGTTGCTACAGGTTAATCACTTGAAACAGAAGCTACAAAATTTGAGTTGGTATCTCAGTTCTTCCCTTTATTAGCTCAATCACAGTGTGCAATCACAGGTAAAATGGGATTGATGAGTTTTGTTTATCTTATAATATCATTCTAAGGATTAAACAAAATTATGAATTAAAAAGTGCTTTGTAAGCTACAGGGCATTAAGCAAATTAAAAAGTTTAAATAAGAATTTTATCGAAGTGAACTATGATTTATGCAAGACATTTTTATCATCGACTTTTGTATCTAAGCCTAGTACCACTTTGGAATCATCGATTTAACCAACAGGAAGTAGAGAATCCTTCTGGTCACCTCTGACAGATTAACAACCTGGAAAAAAATGACCTACACTTTGAGCTATGTTAGGGGGACAGTGTAATCACTAGGACAATTCTTAACACAAAGAGAGTGGGAACGTGAGTCTGAAGGGGGAAATATCAAAGGTACTGTTTATCAAGAGTGAAACTTTGAAATCCACCTATTTAAGATTAATCACTATTCTTTCAGTTAAGCGGTTGTCATCCCTAACTTCCCCTGAGTAGAAAATAATCTACACTTCCAACTAAGTTATTCATGGTCCAATTTGTTCTCAGAATACTATAATAGGCTTTGTGAAGATAAGTTTTATAATAGGGATTTAACGTAGTGAGAAGCCAAGACACAGAGGCCTTCAAACACAGAGTATATATATATATACATATACTAATTGCTCCATCCTTCCCCCTCTTCTTCTACTCACTCCATTCCCTCTCCCAAAAGGATATTCACCCCTACTTAAAAATCTAATTTTTACAAAGCATTCAGATGAAATGGCATCTCAACAACTTCACAGCACAATTGGTTTAGCCACTGCAGCGTTGCTTTTGAAGCCATTTTCAACAGAGCTGAGAAAAGGGAAGAACTCTGAGTAAAGCACTGGGAGAAGAAATGCTGTGAATGGTTTTAAGAAAGAGAAACATAATCTTTCCTCGTGACAGTTCATCTTCCTGATGGCCACATTTACATACTGAGTTCACAGGCTAGAACTCTCAAAGAGAACTCTACTTTCCTAGAGAATATAAAACATTCAGCATGGCATCCTTGGAGGGAGGGGGGTGTAGGAAGGAAAAGGGAATAACCACTGATGGTTCATATGTATCATATTTATTTTCTAGGTTCTGATATCTTAAACTGTTGAAAATACATAAAGTTATTCAGAGACTTTTTTTTGTTTCATTCCTCTTTAGCTCTATAAGATGTAACTCTCTATATTTTTCTCTCATTTTTATTCAAATGAGTGCATTGGCTTCTTGTTTTACAAAGTAAAAACCTTGAGTGCAACAAGTTTATCTTTATTCCAGACTGTAGGTTGCTGTTTTTTTTTTTTTTTTTTTTAAAGTTCCTTATTCTTCCATTTTAAAAACATACATGCAAAATTTTAGTATTTAAAATATTAGAAACTCTTCACCTGTGAATGTGTTTTAATAACTAGCTTGCCTCTTCTGAGCATATTACATTCCTGCTATACCTCTTTTGTAGCAAACATGCCTGTCTTATTTAAATATTTGTAATAAAGTATGCAAGAAGATAAACATATGTGACCTATTTATATTCAAAACTGGCTGGAAAACTACAGATCACAGGAATTCTGTAACAGACACACATTATAAACTTCTTTTGATAAATACTTTTTAAAATTGTTTTTTAATGTGCTCTTAATGACTTCTAGCACTCACACCTTCTTACTTGCTTTCCAAACTGTTTATACTGTCCCCAATAACACTCAGTGGAAAGCTGTCACTCCTGGCTAAATCCTTACTTAGGGTGGATGCTATGCCTCCGTGAGACAGGGTCAGGGGGTCAAAATCGATTTTGGAGGCCACCTGGAGAGTCCAGGCCATGAACTGACTCGAAAAATTTATATCAGAGCCAGAATGGTCCACCTCCCAGGGTCAGATCTGGCCTGACACTCCAACCGCAGGCTGGGGCATGCTAGACCGCGCTCAGAGGCCAGGGTTGCTGGCCCTGCTAGCTGACCTCTTCAAACTTCAGGAGAATTTTTTTGGCAGTTACCACGGTGACTGGGTACTCTAAAAGCTTATCCCTCTTACTGAATGGAGGGAAAAAAATTAGGAAAAAAATATGTTAAAACCTACCTTGCAGAGATGCCTATCATGGTTAAAGTTTAAAAAAAAAAAAAAAAGGTTGGGGGTGGTGGGAAGGGAGGTTACGGCCCTAAATTGTCTATGCCTTTGGTATTAATTACTACTGCTTTCCAAAAAAGAAAAAAAAGCAATTAGAACTTACAAGTCTTTCAAACTGCAAAATTTGACATTTGGAGCAGATACTGCTTTGTTTCTTTTTTCTTCTCCCCTTTCTTGGTCAGTAGCTGGCAACAATATGAACAATGCATTCAAGGATTTTTTAAAACAACGCAATTTACTTGGAAATTCTAATATCTCCCCTTTTCTTTGAGAATAACCAACTTTGAAATAAGAACCATCATAAATGCTAGTCTGTCGGAGAGAAGATGCTGTAAGTCATCATTTTTGCCTCAAAATCATGTTCAAGGTTTTTTTTTTTCCTGAAAGAAAAGTGTCCAGTTTTGCTTGACTTGAAATAATTAAATTAGGAGAAAAGCAAGGGGCCATTATTATATATTTTATCTTTTACCAAATGACTTAATAAAAATAATGTATATGTTAAAAACAACAACTGAAAATACTCTACATATAACAAGAGAACACTAGGAAGAAAAAAAATACCATGTATACTTCATTTTAAAGAACATCAAAGCTAAAAAAAAAGCCATGGAATATTCTTCTATGTTAATACCAAATGTTGTCTTGTCCTAAAGTCTCACAACAATAGAAATACTTGCAGATAAAAATTTTAATTCCCCATGGGGTAAACCTATGCACATTATAAAACTCGATTAGTTGGTTTTTGTTGATAGGTTGTAACACAAAATGCTTTAAAATGGCTCCTATGTGTGACTTGAAATTGGATGAGAATCATAATAATTTAGAAGTATACTATACTTTAATAATACTTGTCTTTAAAAATATCTGAGTACTACACAATGACTTTTTATAAACTGAAATCACTGACTTTTACTGTCATTGCTCTCTATCTCTTACTTCATTTTCTCATCTGCTATGTACATGATCCAGGTCCTAGAAGTCTTGAAAGGACCTCCTCTGCCATTTGGGTGCTGGCTCTGTGTGTGTGTGTGTCTGTGTGTGTGTGTGTGTGTGTGTGTGTCTGTGTGTGTGTGCACAAATAATGAAGCACTGGTGAAGCAGGGTAGATTTGCATTTTAGAAAGCAGTGGCTATATAACAAAACAATGTCTTTGATTCAAATATCATTTTTCATCTTGACTCTAAGCCAAGAAAAAATGAGAAATTACAGAAATATAGTAATTGACACTTCAAAAGTGAATACTAAAATTTCAGAGGAATGTTTTAACCTCATCTTAAATGTTGATTTTACTATGACCTATGTTGACTGTTTCGTAATAATCATTAAGTTCCTACAAAGGAATGAACATAAAACCAAGTATATATTAATTAGTCTTAATTTTTAAAAACCAAATGTAATTCAAGAACCATTTCCTTTCTCCTCTTGTGCTCAAAACAGCCACTGAAAGGCAAGGTCAGAAGCAGTTTGAGCTGATCTTGCCGTGCAATCCAATTACACTTTGCTGAAACACAGTTCTTTCAATTAGATAGCGTGGTTCTTGACATGCTGAAGTGGGCAACCAGGTTGGTGAGTCACTTAAACTGTGGTGCCAGCTCACTGTCTATGATGAATTCGAACTGTCCTTCCCAGCCGGGAACCCCTGGCAAGCTTCCTTAAAGACCCAGTGACTGGCAAAGCATGAGGCACTATCACACAGAAAACAAGGTCCTCCTCGGGTTTGGAAAACAGATGATAGAAGTCTTGGAATGATGCAAGCCAGGTCACAATCTCCTGAACCACGAGCCTTATCTTGAATGAAACATGATTTCTGAGTTGGATCTGAAAAGGAAAAAAAGTTAAAGTATAAGGCAACGGTTCATTTCTACAAAAGAACACAATGCCAAGTCTTGTAGCGTGGTTTCCTCTAGTCCAATTCAGAATCTCTCCCACAGAAGACCAAAAATCATCTTTCAGTCCTTTGCATAAACTTTACTAAAAGGACTATGAAATAAATAGGTATTTTATTCAGAAACGCATAGATCTGGATCTTGTCTCAGATTGAAAATTTGCAGATATGTTACAAAAGTACAGAATGTGGGGGCTGAGGAACTAAGAGATTATCTAGTCTTATGTTTTTACTTTACATATGCAAAATCTGAAGCCTAGAAGCATGAACTGCCTTACGTACAAAATATTCATTAGATGCTTAAACTAGAACCTAGGTCCTGGTTGGCATTTTTTTCTTCTTCCTTTTTCTTTTTGAGTCAAAGTTTCCCTCTTGTTGCCCAGGCTGGAGTGCAATGGCGTAATCTCATCTCACTGCAACCTCCACCTCCTGGGCTCAAGCGATTCTCCTGCCTCAGCCTCCCGAGTAGCTGGGAGTACAGGCATGCGCCACCACACCTAATTTTGTATTTTTAGTAGAGACGGGGTTTCTCCATGTTGGTCAGGCTGGTCTCGAACTTCCGACCTCAGGTGATCCGCCAGCCTCAGCCTCCCAAAGTGTTGGGCTTACAGGTGTTAGCCACCAGGCCCAGCCCTGGTTGCCATTTCTAACCTAGTATCTTCTCTACTACAAAATGTAGCCTTTTCACTAGGGTGGGAAATATTAAAAGCCCATACTCGTAGACATATTCAAAGTCTTAGAGTAATTCTGGGGCAAGGATATGAAATGATTGCAAATGATTCCAGGTTCACTTCTAGGAAACAGCTTTAGGCACCACAAGCAGAAATTCCACAAAGTCATGCAGTGAAACTGTAAAATAACCTGTGCTATTGGAAGCTCCCCATTTCTCAGGAACTTATGTCTTGTGGTAACAAGGGCGTGTTGCGAATACGATTTCTCCAGCGAATTGTTTTCATTGGTTTGTTGTGGTTATTAAGCACTGACTTCTTTCTGTAGGTATGGAGTCGCACCATTCTGCCAAGTTTGTAACTAAGTACCAGGAAGTGGGGCTTTGGTGTAGATCTGCCTCTGCTACCAAATGACCATGAACCTCGTAAGAGAGCAGGGCTACCAGTCCGGGAAGCGCTAGATCAGGTTTGTCTTTAACATTGTTCTAATTTACCTCGGGTTTAACTTGTATCTGTTAGGATCAATAGATTCTAAAAATGAAGTAAAACAACAACAAACAAAAAGACTGTATAAAAATTTGCAATTAATTGCTGATACCCCAAACTGCCACTTGTCTGCTGCATGCGGCTGTAATAGCACTTTTTTTTTTTTTTTTTTATTTTGGGTCGGTGTCCCACTCTGTTGCCAAGCCGGGTGATATGGGGTCACTGCAGCCTCTGCCTCCTGGATTCAAGCGATTCTTCTGCCTCAGCCTCCCAAGTAGCTGGGATTATAGGTGCATGCCACCATGCCCAGCGTATTTTTGTATTTGTAGTAGAGACAGGGCTTCTCCATGTTGGCCAGGCTGGTCTCGAACTCTCATCCCCAAGTGCTCCACCCGCCTCGGTCTCCCAAAGTGCTGGGATTACCCGCCTGAGCCACTGAGGCCTGCCTTGTAATAGTACGCTCTTATTAGTACGTTTCTAGTGCTGTCTCGGAGTTCCCTTTCTAACTTGTCATGGCATTCGGAGAAAGATCATGATTTAATTATAAAAAATTTGCTGGGGGGCCCCAAGGGAGAGAAAGGTAGGGGATGAGAATCTGAGAAGAGAAGGAAAAGTATTAGACATGCCGTGGACCAATCGGTGACTCTCTAGGGAAGGAGGTGGGTGTTCAGAAAGATAGTTACATGTGATTAACAGGTGAAGGCAAGGGCAGTCAGGTAGTCCTTAACTTCCACTTGGAATTTCAAAGAAATGCCGTTTCCTTTCCATAGGTTCAAGAGGGTATTAGTTAAAGGAGGCATATTTTGGTACTAATCACATGTTAAATTTTGGGAGCAGGGAATGAGAACTCCTCTGAGGGGGGGTCTGAAGAGCATTTGCTTGGCACCCCTCAGAATGTACGGCTGAGGCTCAGCTACCTCGGCTGTACTTTTCCATTTCTCAAAACATTTTAGTTGTCTTGCCTTGGATCAGTGGAAGACTTCTCCAACCAAAGGAAAAAGAGGTGTTAAGGGAAGCTTCTTGGTAGAAGGGAACTTTCAGATATACAAATGTTTTTCTTGTTATTTAGACAGAGTCTCACTCTGTCGCCCAGGCTGGAGTGCAGTGGCACGATCTTGGCTCACTGTAACCTCCATCTCCCGGGTTCAAGTGATTCTCTTGCCTTGGCCTCCTGAGTAGCTGGGATTACAGGCACATGCCATCGCGCCCAGCTAATTTTTGTATTTTTAGTAGAGATAGGGTTTCACCATGTTGGTCAGGCTGGTCTTGAACTCCTGACCTCAAGTGATCCACCTGTCTCTGCCTCCCAAATGTATGCAATTACAGGCATGAGCCACTACATTGAATCTATTTTTCTTTTAGAATCAAGGTTGATAAGTTGGAGAGCTGAGCAGAAAAAAGAAAGTGAGGAATTGCTTGGCAGCGCGGTGGATAATGCTTGTAATCCCAACATTTTGGGAAGCTGAGGTGGGCAGATCACTAGGTCAGGAGATCAAGACCATCCTGGCCAACATGGTGAAACCCCATCTCCACTAAAAATACAAAAATTAGCTGAGTGTGGTGGCCAATGCCTGGAGTCCCAGCTACTTGGGAGGCTGAGGCAGGAGAATTGTTTGAACCCAGGAGGCGGAGGCTGCAGTGAGCCAAGATCATGTCACTGCACAGCCTGGGCGACAGAGCGAGACTCCATCTCAAAAAAAAAAAAAAAAAAAAAAAAA